TTCGAACAAAAAATGAGACACAGATCTCATTGCTATTTTCTTCACAATTGCAAAATTGACCCATTAGAAGTCCATCATTGTGATATCAACATCGAAAAATCAAATGGCCATCACGTCTCGAGCTAGAAGAAAATGGAGAATGATACGTCATGACCAGTGCAGTCAAAGTGATGGTAGTAGGTTAATTTAATGTACTAGACAATGAATCAGAGGTCCAGAATCATTTAAAATGGTGATGAGCATTACCATTGAGTGAGAATATAGAACTTCCAACAGCTAGTGAGTCTTTATCTCACGAGGAAAGCATAGTGGATTGAGTTTGGTTGACTAGTGAAGATTCAGTTTGGAACTCTAAACAATAGTTTGAATAAGTCCTTGTTTGAGCCATATTTTCAAGGTAGAAAGTAGAAAAAATTTGACCGTTATTTTCAAACGCAGGTCCCACATGAGAGAGATGAAGTCAAATATGGTGGTTGAAATTGGTCTCAAACGATCGAAATTTTCATTTTTTGTGGTTGAAAATATGGGTCAAACAAAGGATAATTATATTATTCAGTTAGCCTATCTATTAGGATTTTTTGAATGGCTCTGGAGAGCTTTGGCACTGATCTAACCTCACTTTTTGAAATCTTGCATTGGTTTCGTCCGACTCATGAGTTGAGCAAATTAAATAGTGCTATTAGTTTCTTGTGAATATTCTCTAATACTAAATTTATCCTTAGCCCATTAAATTGTTTGGAATCAATCACAAATAATGGTATTGAAAAAGTTTGCAAAGGGATTCATGAGAAATTTTGTCGTCCACACTGACAATTCACCATTCCCTGCCAAAGGGTGATTTTAGTAAATAGCCAAACATATTTTATGTTCATTTTGCCTTTCGAAAATAGATTGTATTTCAAATATAAAAACACGTAAAAATACTGTATATTTACATGTCAACTGCAATATGATTTTACTATGACTCGAAATCATCAAATATCTAATAGTGTAGACCTAAATTAGGAATGCTAACGGGACGGGGCGCCTCCACCTCGCCCTGCCTTAGATCGGGTAGGGCAAGGCGCGAGGCAGGACGGGACAACTTTTTGTCCAGTTTAATTTTTTTTATTTTTTTATATTTTCAAAGTTTCAAGTTATGTTATTATTAGAGAATAAAATACAAATTCAAAATGAATTTTTAACGGATGAATTGTTTAGAATTGAAATCATTTTTAAATTTTTTTTATTTTTTCCTTCATGGGACCCTTCGCCAACCTGTTTTGGGCCGATTTTTTTGTTCCACTCGAGACAGGACATGACGAATTTTTTTGCCATCACTAACCTAAATTCACTTTTATGAGTGATTTTAAATTTTTAACATTTCAAATTGATGGATTCTATATTTAGATAGGAACTTAAAATCTCACTTTTGAATATTTTGGAGTCAAAACTATACTAACTAAAGAGTTACGGAGTATATCTGTAAATGACCACAAACAAAATCACGTAGAAATGAAATTGGGGACAACGCAGCAACGCTTCAAAAGCTCTCTCTAGTTCCGCCCGCCTTCCGCCGTGCAATTCTCAAAATGTTCGGAGCTCAGCCTTCCTCCGGCGCAGCCTTCGGCACTCCCTCCTCCACACCGGCATTCGGAACGCCCTCTTCCACACCGGCATTCGGAACGCCTTCCTCTACACCTGGGTTCGGAACCCCTTCCTCCACCCCAGCCTTCGGCACCCCGTCATCCACTCCAGCCTTCGGCACGCCTTCTACTCCATCATTCGGCTCGGGGTTCGGCACTTCACTCTTTTCCACTCCATTCTCCCAGCAAGCCCAACCACAACAGCAGCAGCAGACTCCTTCACTATTTCAAACCCCACAGCCACAACCCAGTAGCCATTTTGGCTTTTCGACGCCATTTGGTGCCGCCGCACAAGCTCAGCCCACGCCGTTCAATGCTCCGTCTTCATTGCCTTTTGCGAATTCACAGTTGACTACTCAGATGGCTCCTGTTGCTCCCCTTCCCTTTTCCCTCGCCGATCGTGATATTCAAGTTGGGGATTTTTTTCTTTTGAATTTTTGGTTAATTTTATAAGTTCTAAATTCAATGTGGACCGCATTTTTAATTATTAATGTTTTTGTACGATTTATAATTGATAGGCAATTGTAGAAGCTTATAAGGAGGAGCATGGGAACCCGAAATATGCATTTAAGGTTTGTTTTTTAATATCGAAAAATTTGGATGCCAGTGTTTTTACACTTATATTGGGTTGCACTACTTTCATTGGTGTAGAATTCAAGCTTTGGATTTCAAAAATGTTAATAGTTCCTTTAAAATATTTTTATTTATTTTAAGTTCCATTTCCCTGACATAAGTTACATGTTGCCAATCTAAACTTGATGTTTCTCATATTCATTCTGGCGTGTCTAAACATATTTTTGATGTCAAGACTGACTTGATTCACGTGAAGGTGTATGTTAAAAATGTTTTTTGTTTTCAGCATCTTTTATTCAGTGTTACTGAACCTCAGCACAGAGCAAAGCCTGCTGGTGTATCAGACGTGAGTTTAAAATTGTAATTTTTGACTTGTTTCACTTATTTCTTTGTTTTTTATTAATGTTGTAAATTTACTTTTATAGTCTATTTAGTGAGTCTGATAAATTAGTTTATATTGCAGATTATGTGGGCAGAGGCAATGGGGAAGCTTGAAGGCATGGAAAGTTCCAACCGGGAACGCTTGTGGCCACAACTTGTGCAGTGTTTTAAAGATCTTTCAAGTCGTCTCAAGGTACATTGAAGTGTGACTAGTTCATAGTTTTACTATTAAGGGGAGTTATAGTAGATCGCATACTATTATACTCTCTCCTATATATGCGGGCTGCTGTCAGAATTATTTGTCAAAGGTGAAGGCGTTGAGCATTTTTGATGAATGCTTTAATGCGTAAGCTAATCTGTGAAGCTGAGGTTAAGAAAGAACTACCAGATTTAACTGAAGTATTTTTTTTATATTTTTCTCAGCTGCTTGTGTCATTTAAAGTGAATTGCCTAGGAACGCTTTAATGATTATTGAGTTGGAAGCTCCTCATTGTTGTTCCAGATTGCCCCTTTTAAGCTACAAATTAAGAATAAACCTGTTGGAAGGAAATGAAAATCTTGACTTCCAAATCTAAGAAGCGTCAGTTGCATTTCTGTGGAGCATCATTGTAGAAAGTTAGTAGATTTTCTCATAACTCCAACCTGCAGGGTTAAATAGACATGAAAAAATACACAAGAGAAGTCAACTTTTTCATTATTGTTTGAAGTTCGTATCTCGAGGACTCTGGTGTATTCTTTGAAGAATTCACATGCAGAATTTGATTGTGGTTTGTTTCTTTCGTTTAGATTGTGAAAGTTTCAACCTCAACTTCCTAGACTATGGCTTAAAGACGTTTTCTTACCTTTTAGCTTTCACAATGACCATGTGACTTGGTAGATTTTCAGATTGCTGGCATTTTATGCGTGACCTGAATGAGCAAAACATGAGTAGTCTGGGATAGATATTTCTACTGTCTTGTGATAATCAGATTCTTTGTCGTTGTATATGTGTGATTGCCATCGTCTTCATGCATGTTACTTCCTGTTATAAAATTTTTACAAATCATATTGGTCATTGATGATAGAACTTCATGCTGTAATTTGGTAGTAGATGAGCATGAAAGTATAGGCTTTAGGCATTGTGCTATCGGTAACAGGATATTTCTCTATTGTCTGGTGTAAATGAATCTGATCACAAGAAAGCACATAAATCATAGATTGCGTTTATAGCACCTTTTAGATAGCGAAATTGAATTGTTGTGAGGTAGATAAATCCTCATCAAAGTTTAGAGCCTGTTTGTCTCCCATCATGGGAGAAATTAAAGAGTTCTGAATAGTTTTTATTTTTTATTTTTTTGAGATTGTGTGGTTAAAATTTAAAGAAATTTTACCGGTTTGTGTAGAATATTTTATTGTGTGAATGTGTGGTGGAGAATGTTACAGTAACAAATAATTTAATTTGTTATAGGATGACAAATAGGGGCTTAGTAAACAATCTAAATAATGGTCTAACGTGTCAAAAAAAGAATGGAACTTCTGAATTGGAGAAACTGGTTTGGTAGCCAGTGAGCTTGAACAGAAATGGCAACCACTATGAAGGAAAATGATTCCTTTGTAGTTGCGATGCTTCAAGGGATCTCTTCACCTCCCAACAGTAAATATAAATAAATAAATCTCAAATTTAGTAAAGATGACTACCTTGTTTATACTGCAATAAAAAAGTTTAGCTAAATGAAAACTAAGCGAAACAGCGGGGTTCTCTGTTTCGGGTTCCATCTCATTTAATTTTTAATTGTTATTAAGATTATCGAGAGCTCGATTGTCATTGTAAAATATGGGTATTCCGTTTTCTCTAGTATTACAGTTTTCTCTCTCATGAACAATCATATTTGGGTCTATGACTCTTCAAAAATGATTGTTAAAACTTTCAATTTCGACTGCTGCAGCTTCAAGATGAAGTCATACTCTCAGATTCTGAGAGATTAAAGATGACACGTAGCAATGTGAAGATGGTATTGTCTCTGTTATGTTCGTCTGCCCGCCTTTCTTGTTCTGTGCATTAATAATGTACCATATACCTTTATAACCTTTGATTAGTGTAGCTCCAAAGGCATTTTCAAGTTGACACTCTTCCTCGGATTCAAAGAATGCAACAAAAAGAGCAAGTTCTTCAAAGGCGTCTTTTAAGGGTGAGAATTTGGATTAGCCTTTTATGTCTGGTATTGGTGGTCTTCTTGTGCCGAATATGTTGTATGTCATTTTCCTTCTATTCTTTTCGAGTTATTACTGGTGTTTTATGATTTTTTTTCTATGAGATAATCAGAATTTAACTAGTGAATGCATGCTCAGTTGTTTTTATACAAGTTCTGCTTCTATGTCTTGTCCAATTGCTATAATCTTGCATGTGATATTATAATCAGGTAATGAGAATAGTAGAGGCACTGGAGGGTAAAGGTTTCCGGTTACCTCTGATGAAAGGAGAAGCTGAATTGGCTGAGAAGTTGGCTGCAATTACTCGGCAGGTTGTTTATAATTTGATCTTGCTGAATGCCTCTTACTTATTTGGAATGAAACAAGTGACTGTACTCACAAGAATATCCGACCCTGCAGTTAAAAGGACCTGGAGCAGAACTTTCTCGAAGGGTTCAAAATTTGCTTGCTATTTCTCGTGTTCAAGCACATGGCCTTGATGGTGGCTCTCTTTATCTTCCAGGATCAACCAATATCGATGAACAAAGTCTTGCTGACATGCAAGAGGTAAGCTAAAATTTATCGAAAACCATTTTAGGCTGCTCAAAAAGTTGCTTCAATTTGAATGGACTAGTTTTGTAGCATTTGTTGTTTACATAAATGACTGTCTTTTCATTGCAGGTCTTGCAACAGCAAACTGAGGCTATATCTAGGCTTTGCAATGTTATGAAGAGAGATTTCCGAGATTTGGAGATCATAATGGCTGAGGATGCTCAGATGGTTAAAGAGTAGAATAAGCAGTTTGTCCGTTTGTTTTTCCTTTTCTTTTTCTTCCCTAGTCTCCGTTGGTTAAAAGTTCTTTTTTTCGGGAAATGAACTGGAAATTATTTTACATCTAGAAGTAAATGAGAAGAGTGCATTTTCTGTATCATTATGCCAACACAATCCAATTTCAAGATACTTTCAAGGAAGATAGAACTGATGTGAGTATTGTGTTCATCCATTTATATTGAGGTAGAGGTCGGAAAATCTTGTGACGCCATTCTAAACCTTTATTCTTTGTAACGCTATACAGGGTTGATAGTTGAGGAAAAAACCTTGATATAACAAGGCTTTGACATTCATGTACCATTGCTATCAGAAACGTAATTGAAGCTTGGGATCATATCGCCTTTGAATTACATGCCCGAGGCCAAAAAAAAATAATAATCATGTAACTGCACATTCAAATTTGATCGATATAAGTTACAATTCTGTGTGTCTAGGCTGTCCTGTGATCCTGTTTCTATAATCTAACACTGATATTGAATCACATACACTGTGTCAAGTCAAGTCAACTGCAACTGAAGTCTGATTTGCACGATCCAATGCAATTGTGGAGAGGATTTTGCCTTTTGCTAGCATGTACTAACATTCGTTATATGCTTCTGCCATGATCAACAGCACAAGTGACGTCCAACCAGTAAAGAGGCGCGCACCTTTTCCTTTTCCTTTTCCTTTTCCATTCTTCTGATCATACTGTTCCCAGAAAAAGCCGGTCTGGTTATAGTTTCTTACCACATTTCTAAGACAAGAAATCAACATCAGGCAAGAATATACCGTACATAAAATGTATGTTTGATATGCGCTGCACTACCGAACACAACGTACAAGATTTTAAAACCTTTCCTCTTTATCCTGTTCATATTGTCTAATCCCACATACTAAAGAAGCGAGGAAAAAAAATAATGGCACAGAAGTCAATTGAACAAGAAATTCAGGTGGCAGTTACCTTATCAAATTATCCCTCAAATCACTGTAGACAGTCTTTGCTCTCCCTCTGTATGGTCCATCAACTGAAGAATCAAATATAACTACAAAATGTCAGAAATAATTATAGCAAGAAAGAATAATTCATGTTATTGTGTACCTTTAGAATAGTGGTTAAGTGAAGAAAGAACCAAATAATTCATGTTCATCCAAATTGTCCCTCTCCAATATGGTGGATCGTGCTCAGTGTTGCGTATCATGTACAGTGTGCTGCGACATAAAAGAATTTTTTATTAACATTAATCAGAAGTTCACCCAAACAGAAGGCTGTCAATCAAAAGGAAATAAGTTTTTTGACTTTGTTAGAAAAATAACTTCTAATATTATGTCCGGCAAACAAAGCAGCTTAAAAGTAACTCTTACTTCTTTTCAAGATCAGTGCTCTCAGTCAAGAGCCTGAGTACATCATTATTTACCTTGTCTTGGCAAGAGATTTGAGTCCAAAGTCGGTCCACAGAGCACTTCTGTTTGAAATGAGATCAAGTTGTTTTTCTAAAATCCATGAATCCTAAGTGGATGACAAAAAATAACCTTTCAATACTAAACATCAATGAGAAAGTGACGAGCAAAATGATGAAATAAAAAGTATCCTTGACCAACTCAGGTGGAATAAGTCTACCAATAAACAGGAAAAGGCTGACATAGCCAACATGAGGAACCAGTCTCAGCACAGGATCCTCAAGGACTTCTCATACAAGCTCATGAATAGGGTAATCACCAGCCCGCTCCACTAGTCTCCAACTTAGACGAACATACAAAGAAAAGATTGCTAGTTCGAGAATGAGCCTACAAGAAATACAAGTGTGGTCCTATCATTGTCTTTCTTTCTCCTCTGATTTTTTTTTTTTTTCCCCAGAAAAAACTTCCCCCCAGTTTTCATCTATCATTACCTCTATGTTTCAAGACATAACAATTACTAACTAGAAGACCTTACATCAAGTCATTTTAACAAGTATTCTAAACCCCTCCCCCCCCCCCCCCCCACCAAAAAAAGAGAGAGAGTAAAGATAGCTTTTTGTGAAGGAAATGGTATTTGCAAATGTTTCATATGACTCGGGTACCTACAGATTTTCCCAAATACATGACCAAAATTATTGAACCAGAACAATCTGGATCTCACTGAATTATTGGTATGTAAAAAGTGTATAAAGGATGAGGCTTATTAAATTCTGAAATGTTTGCACTTTAAAGAGTTGTGATCCGAAAACAGAACCAATAAGAGACGTGATTACTTGAAAGACAAAAGCATATACCTGGTCGGGATGATTTCCATAATCAAAATAAGCTCCATAGGTATAATCAAAGTGCATCTGTCATTCAAAAAGAGCACATCCGAGATAATAAACTTTAAGCCAGGACATCTTAAATAGCTTGTGGCAAATGTTAGAATGATCAAACAATACATTGTTCACATGTAAATTGTAATAAAGCAAAAAAAATAAAAATAAAGAAATCAATGAATAGGACGGCCCTCGCCACTAGGAAGAGTCAATCTGTAAGACCTATTGGGCAATTAGTGACACTGGATGTATACGACCACTTAAAAGAGAAGGGGAAAGGGGAGAGAAAAGGAGAAAGGAAGGAAAAAGAGAAGAAGAACGGGGAGAGAATAGAGAGAAATGGGGGGGAGAATATCAATTCATTTCATCTAATCAAGTCGTTCTATTA